TTTCTCTTCTAGCATGCTGGGTGGGTCAGTTGCCAATAGAAGGTCCCAGGCTGAATGCAGCATGTACTATCTTTGACCAGAAAATCTTGTGGGACTGGAGCTGGTTGATGCTACAATCAGCGAGGAGCTCCATCCAGAGCCAGATATGACTACTTCTTGCAGCCACTCCTAGAAGCATCAGTCTTGAAGCCATGAGCATTTATGGAACTTGGTGCAAGAGCTGCTCAACATCACATGAGACTAGGGCAACTGAGGCCACTTTAAAAAAAACATAGGTTTGGAAGAATAGCCCAGCTCTGTGTTTGCCCTGTCCCACTCCCATCTTCCACACTTGATACCCTCTGTATTCCCAACTCAGCTTGCCTCCCCAGACTCCAGATTTACTCTCACCCTTATCTTACTTTGTTCTTCCAACGTCATGACTCATCTTTTTCACCAACCCCACAGACTCTGCACTGACTATGGCTCCTCCTCCTTGAATCTCTGGCATCAGCTAGTCCACACTCTGGACGTCCAAGCCAGGCCAACATATTTAATGACTTCTTCCTTGGCCCTTGAACAAAGCCCCAGGCACAATGCATAGCCTCGTGTCCTGCCTCTTGGAGGCTTGGCCCATTTCTCCTACCCTCCAACTTACCCTCTATTCACATCTGGTTTCCCGCCCGCCCATTTCTATTTGTGTACCACCCATTTCCCATTTCTGCCATGTAGCACTAGATTCCTGTCTTCCCCTGTGGTATAGTCAAGGTAGGATGTGAGCAAACCCACCCAAACATTTTAACAGGAAATCAGAAAAAGGGAGGGAGGCCACTCCCTCATGTCAACTGTATGGGAGCCTCTGAGACACATACAAAGCATTAAAAGGAAATGACATATAAGGAAACAGAAATTGGAAAGGATAATGGACCTATCAAGGAGTACACAACTAATATGGGTAGAGCTGGGCCTGAGTTCACATTTCCTGACTCCCAGGCCAGTAGTCTCATCTGCTATATCATGTCAGTGGGTCTGGCTTATAGATAGCATCTGGCTGAGAATCCCAGGCTTGAAGGACTTTAAATGTCATCTATGCTAGACACTGACTGATGCTAGAGTCCTAGCTGAAACTGCCCTGCTGAGTGGCCGGCCAGCCAGCCTCTGCAGCAACACCTCCCAATATAAGCATATCAACATTAGTAAACTCTATTCTATTTTAAGCTCTTACCTAATTCCCGGAATTCATTTTACCAACCCATCTTCATATTACCAACTCACTAGTTACATCTGTTGCATCTAAGCACACATGTATGTGTACAAACATATTCGCACACACACACACCACACACCACACACACATACACACACACACACACACACACACTGATTATCTCTCTTCTTATGACAACTCTCCAAACACTTGCCCCAAATGATCTCTTCCATGCTAAACAACCTGTTTCCTTTATTCTTCCTCTAATAAGAGAATTTTCATATTGTTCTTTTGAAGTTTGGATCTTCAATGTCCCCCAAAGACCCATGTGTTAAATTGTTGATTCTCAGCCCATGCCACTAGGAAGGTGGTGGGACTTTTTTAAAGTGAGGTTTAGGGAGAAGTCTTTGGACCACTGGATGTGAGCCCTTTAAGGGCAGAGTGGGACTCCAGTTCCTTTATCTTCCTTATCTTCCCAAGGATGAGAAGAGTAGTTCTACTCTATTGCTGCCATGATGTTCTGTTTCCCACCTCCCACCACTAAAGGGCTAAACACACTGTGTCTGCCTGGTCACGGACTGGAATTTCCAAAACTGTGAGCCAAAATAAACCTTTTCTCTTTACAGGTTGATTATCTTACTTATTTGTTATAGTGTCAGAAAACTAATACATACTTGTTTTGGCCTCTATCCTCTGAGTCTCCCCTAGATCCTTCTCACAGAGTGGCTTCCCTAATTTCTACTGCACATAATAAGACTACAGCATCCTCAGTCTCACTGCTTGTCTGGGGCAGGATCTCCACCATGAGGTCAGTTGCCCCTGGGAGCTCATGTTAGGTCTAGTGCTTTCATCTTCACTACAGGATCCAGGAAAACATGAAATAGGTTGGAGACTCTGAAACACTAGCCAAGAAGAACTGAAACAGGTTTGTGTATCAGTGGCCCTGCCAAACATTTCAGAAATATTAGTAAATATGCACCTATCAGGAGAGGCAACTCAAATTCCAATTGATCCTGCAGGACATCCAGTTGACACATGGTCAATGTGCTAGACCAGCTTGAGGTGGAGTAAAGGTAGTGATTCACAGGTCCCAGTGGCTCACTTCATCAGATGGAGTAGTTAGAAGAAACACTGAGTTGTGCTTCAATGATTCCTATCCAGAAATCACTATAGTTCAAGAGCCTGCCATCCATGGAAAAGCAGCTTAAGCAGCATCCTGAGCAAGGGACTGACTTCTTACTGGAATCTTGATTGAGCTGGGTTTTATGTTATTTTTCACCCTATGTCTCTATTACAGATGCAATTTCAAACCAACCTACTTGATTAGGCAGAGCATTTCCTAGATGTGCACAGGGCAGCCAAAGACTGAAGTATGACATCCTTCAGTGGCTATTGCTGGGTTTGACTGCACAAAAAAAAAAGGAAATAAGGCAATATTTACTCCATCCAAGGAGTTAAATGAGCTATACTTGGCAGCTCAAGGAGCTCATAGTTTGGGTATTCTTTTCTGGTGCCTCTTAGTCCTTGCTCTATACTTGTAATAACTGAATTTATGCTTGATATCACATTTCAATCTTGCCACATCTGGGACCCAGGTTTCTGATTTGTTCCCTATAGCTGGTTTTCAGCACAATGCCTTTCTCTTAAGTGATGATATTCTGCTATATTCTTTATAGCCTTCACTTTTTCCTTTTCTCAGGACCCTAGGACAGCATCCAAGTTCCTGCTACCACCTCCCAGACTTCCTTCATGCCAGTAAGCATGTTCTCTGTACTCATAAACTCCATTCTTAGGTTCCACACTCCTGTTAGTCCTCATGGCTTTAACCTGTGCCATACCTCCCAATGTCTGCCTCTGTTTGCCCTTGTTTCTAATGGCTGACTGCCCTCTAGCAGAATGAGTGGCTTTCTTGACTCCCTGTTAGCAGTTGGGTTGACACCAACCCAAGCCTAGGGACCACTATTGCTTCCAAGGATCTCCAATTCTATCTGAGGTTGCTATTTTCCATGATTCTTTCTGCTCAAAGCAGCTTCAGAGGGGAATAAATGAGAGGACATACTGAAAAAAGGGGATGTGAGCTAGATGAAAAAGAGAGATTCCAGAACATGACAAATGTTTTTTCCCCCAACCCAAGTTATAAGATGTTGATACTACATACCCACTCCCTGCCCCCATTCCCCTCTTGCCTAATCAGACCCTGATTTTTGCCAACAGTGAGGACTAGGTCAGCACCATGGACAGCTAGGACTAAACCATTAAGTTAAGGCTGTACTTGAAATGTTCCTGCTTTTTTCTTTGGCATACACTAATGACAACTAATAAATCACCCCTGATTTATATGTACCAGCTCTAAGGGTATTTGAATTCAGGGGAAACAATCTGGTGCTTGGTTGTCTTGAGGATGTATTTAAATTCACAATGAGCTATTTTTGCTTGAGATATTTTTTTACAGAAATAATAACTCTCCCTTTTGCTAATCAATGTGATAAACAAAGATACAGCCTCTCTTCTTCCATGGCTACCTCCAGAATTAAATTTAACAGCAGTACTCTGCTTAGGCAGAGAGAACAAATGAGATAGTTACTTTTTCATGGAAAACAGGTAAAAATTTTCCAGCAAGTGTTTCTTTGAGATGTCTATTTTAAGAAATTTCATGAGGAGTAGGTTACAAGGTGAATATCCAACCTTTCAGAGAGCAAGAATCAGGAGTTTCAACTGAGTGGCTGCTCATCAAATGCCAAACCACACAGCGTATTCCAAAACAAGCTGAGCTTGTCTCCAGATTTCACGTGTTTTACAACCCCATCCTATTCCTGAATGTCACAGCCACCTCTATGAAAACAATGCTCTTTAGTTAAACTAAGTAGAAAAATATAGCGAAAGGATCCTTTGCTATTCTCTTGGTAAAAGAAGACATTTTCTTAAGAAAAACACTGGTGAAGATCAAAGCCCAGCATTGTTTTAGACTCTCTCCAATTTCCAAAATACCATTTAAAAAATAATTACACCCACGATTTATGCACGATTCATTAGACAGCAAGATAAAATGCACTGCTAAGTTTTAATTGCATTGAAAGAGTAGACACCATGAAAAATACTCCCAACTTCTTGGGATTATAACCCAGTCTAGTAACATTTTCATCACAATATAAACTTGTTCAAAGAGTCTAAGTTTATTAATTTATAACAACATTTTAGTTCCATAATTTGATAGACCTCTGAAGAAAATTTTTTTAGTGAAGCAATGAGATCAAGTAATGTATTACCAATATTTAAGCTTTATTTGTGAAAGCTAATAGGCTTGAGTCACAGGATCCCCTACCAAGATATTGGAATGCCATACAAAGATTCAGTTCTCTGCAAACTAAAGTGGTTTTAAAGACTGGTTTTCCTCTCTACCACTTTCCCCGTGAAGTAAAAACAGCATTATATTCTTCATACAGATATTGGTAGGGGATCTAATTATTATACACTATACACCATGTATTATCCATGCTGACTGCAGACTGAAGAAAATAGCTACAAAATTTTATATAATATATAATATATCTTGCAGAATATAAACAGCTTTTTGGTAGATGTGAGTGGCCAAATAACCAATCTGAAGGAACAAGGTTGGTAGAATGAGCACCTGAAATGGTCTTAGGACAGCAAGGTCTGTTGGGGCCATCCACCTATCATTTTGGGTTTTGAATGGCATCTACCATTAGGACCCTGAAGCCGGCAGCTGCCTCTAAAGAGGGAACATGATTCACATCATCGATGCAGTGCTTGGTCGTCAGTGTCTCCCCAGAATGGTTGTCCAAATGCATACCTGTAGTCTTCAATGGTGTTTTCTCTCCTAGCAACAGTTTTAACCTTTTGGCGTGGATTTTGCCTTGATAATGGGAGTCAGCCACCACCGCTGAGGTAAAAGACATGTTACACAGTGTGCAGCACTTATTCTTATCCACCATATCATCATCACTTCCCTGTGTGGGGAGGAGAAAAAGAACAATGTCAGAAGAAACCCACATTCTACGATCTCTTTTTCCTGCAAATGAGATTGATCACAGACTACCTTATAGAATAAATCTATTTTTTAGTCTGAAGCCTCTTTCGTTCTCCATGATAAAAACTTACGATTTTGAAATACATTGATTTTGTGACTACTAAAGCCAGATGCTGGAATTACAGGAAAACTTTGCAGGTGTGAGTTACCTGGAAAAACAGGGCGGGGGATGGAGCCCACAATTAGGCGAAAGCACATTGTGTCTGGCACCGTGAGGAAAAGCAGTCTCTAATTGCACCCATTATACTCATTAAAGTAAGTAAAATATCAGAGTTCACATGGCCTGAATTATTTAGCAGAAATTATCATTTGGCATTCAGCTCTGCCTTTGCCCAATTTTAGCCTCACCAGGATACATGGCTGAGATGTTCAAGATTTTTCTTTTTAAGATTTCTTTAAGTACTTGAACATTTTTCATAATTAACTCGAGTATAGATCAGAAAGCCACGGTGACCATGCTGGCTGAATTTTCTAGACAGAATTTATGTAATTGTTTTTTCCTTTTCTTTAAGAAAGGTGATTCGTTAAATGCTGCATAAAATGCTTAAATCCAGTTTGATTTTCATACTTTTGTAAGACTTAATGAAAGTGAATCATGACTCAGAAAAAAAGAAATCATTTGTCAGACCATGTGACCTGACCATTGAGCACCCAGGTCATCAATTACCTATACTTATGTGAGGGGAAGATTAATCCATTGCCTGCCCTCCTGCCTAGTTGGAAATTGAGGGTAAAGTGGACTCTTAGATAAGGAGTTAATCTATTCCTTAATGGAACCGCAATAGCAAAGCATCTCATTGTTGAAGAGCCAGAGATGAGTATAAGGCCCCACAATAGCCCCCTTTCTGATTCCCAGAATGCTTAGAGAATGTAATTTAAAATTGGATGGGGAGGAGGAAAAAGGTGGGGACAGCAGGGAGGAAGAGAATTATATATATATATTATTTTTTGCATAATAATAGGATGCCCAGACTGCCTGAGAGAGCCTTGCCTTGCAAATTATGTGGTAGTTAGAAAATTAACTCCTTCCTCCTTAAGGTGTTAGTCTGCAATATCTCTGATAATTAGCTTTTGGTCCCTGGGAGACAGCTGTGTGTGTGTATGTCCCAGAAGACCTGCAGTTGAGAGTTGGGCATAAAGGGAACAACACTGGACTAAATATGTTGAATCAGGAGCAGGTGGTCAGTGAGAAGTAGTGGATCCCATGAAGAGAGGAAGAGCTTTCCCAAAAGGTCCTCTCCTGGTAGGCACTAAGGCTGTGCCTGCTAGGGACATCCTGGTGGAGGGTTTAAAGTCAAAGGTGCTTTGAGTTTTGACCTAGGGAATAATCGTTTGTACACCTTTGTGTGGTACACTATTGGAGACCAAATGGACCAGGCAGAGTAAAGCAGAGGGTGGGAGCGGGGAACAGAGCTGCAGAATTTCTGGTCTCTCACCCACCTCTTCCGCCAAGCCTAGGAAATGGCACAGAATACTATTAAAGGGATAAACCAGGGGAAGGCATATCACAGAATGACTGGAAGATTCTAACTCATTAAATAGAAGTTGATAGTTGAGAGGAAATGAAGGACCAAATCTGGTACTTTTTCACTGTTTGTTAAAGTAGGAGTAAGTAATATCCTCTATTTTTTTTTAAATAGAAAGATTGTCGAGGTGAATGTGGATACTTGAACTATTCTATGTTCACCTACTTATGAATGATATAGATTGAAGAATGTAATTTTTTAAAATTAAGCACAATATGATGGACATAATTATCCAAAGTTCATGTATGAAAACACGAATTGGGTGTCAACCTACTTTATATAATACAAAAAAAGTACATATATAAAGACATGAATTGGTGTGAACATACTTTATATACAAAGATATGAAACATTGTGCTCTATATGTATAATAAGAATTGTAATGCATTCCACTGTCATGTATTTAAAAAAAATAAAATCAATTAAATAAAATAAAAATTAAGCACAATAAAATCATAGGCCAAATTTTAGTTCACAATTTACCTCTTAAGAATCTGTACATCTCTTTTGTTGCTTCCAGTGAAAGTTTCAGTCAAGCCTGGCCTTTCTCTCTAGGGTTTTAACATAAGAATTTTTAAAAGAAAAGCTAGAAGCCCAGACACAGTGGCTGGTGTCATTATACCAAGGATACTCGGCACTAGTTTCCAGAGTAAAAAACTTCTCTTAAACTGGATAATGATCTATGGATTTATCATTCATGCATTCAACTTATTTTTAAGGGCCTAGTAAGTGTGCTAGATGCTGTGCTAGCTGCATGTTATGCTACTCATTGTTATCAAAGAGGTTGGCACCAGGAGAATTGAAGAGGGCAGACAGAAAATATGGGAGAACATAATAATTGAGGAAAATATAGCTTCTTTTTTGACTCTTCACAAAGGAAGGTAAAAGACCAACAATGAAAACTGAGTCTGTTTGTGTGGATCTTCACTGTACCCAGCATGCCTTTCCTCTTCAATTCTTGTCTAATCCAGTCTCACAATAATGTATATGCATAGCTTAGATTAATTATCACTTCTTTATCATAAAGTTTCTTCTGACTTTTTTTTACTGCCTTGCAGAGATGAGAATCAGTCTTTGAGTCCTCTGGGTATTCTACATATTTTTTAAAAAAATTTAAGTGTAACACTAAATTATTACATTTGTTTGTTTTCATATTTTTCCCTTTCATGAGACTTCAAAATTCCCTTAAAGTCAAGTAAATGATTTCAGTAATAGAGAAGACCCAGAACCTACCACAAACAGGGACCTTCCAATGGAATGAATAGAGGGGAGGACTGGGTTGTGGAGTTAATAATCTGCATGATATAAAAGTTAAAAGAAGAGACAAGTCCTGCAAGGAGGTCTAGTTGCAAACCAGAAATTTTTCAGGAGTGTCAAGAAGATGGCCAAGAAAAGAATCAGAGGTTTTAACAATTCATGAACTAACCTGAGGGTTCAAGTAGGCATACAGATTTCTACTGTGTATGTTAGTTTCATGATGGTATTTTGAATACACCGTCCTAGATTTCATTTCTGCTTTCCTGGGAAATTGTATTCATCTCACATATAGAAAAATCAAAGACTAATGTAAGAGGAGAACCAATGGTAGTGCAATGAAATATGGTATGACATCACTGTAGAAAAGAGACCAAGAAAGTATAAATAACATAACAGAGGGGCTGTGATGTCCTGAGAAATTAGGCAGTAAAAGACAGGCTGTATGGGAATTTATTGAGGGGTCCAGTGTAACTCACATGATGCAATTGTAAATGCCACCAACTTCTACTGCTTTAATGACTCTGATGGAGATACAACTACCCTGAAAGAATCTCAATATTAATCACACACCTACAAGGTGCAAAAATATAATTGTGTGTTCTTAGCTATCTAAATCCCAATTTAATGGCTCTTCAAGACTACAGATCATATCATCTTTACTAGTCTCTCACTGCGCCCAGAACAAAGTTGATATATGTCCCAGGGTGGAAACTCCATAAATTTTGATGAACTGACCTCAAGAAATACATTTTAAATTTCTGGTTTAAAACTTGAGAATGGCCCCAAGCTATCATGTAAATGAAGAGGGAAGCTAAGATTATCTTAAAATAAGGGTTTTGAACTGGAGGCAAAAAAATTTAAATGCAGTGTGCACAATGCTAAAAGAAAAGGGGGGAAAGTTTGTGAAATATCCTAAGGCTACTTAGTCAAAGAATTTTGAAAAGTTAAGAAGTTTTCAATAGAATTCATTGAGGGTGTAAAACCCTAGCTGAGTCTGGCAAGTTTAAATCTAATCTGTTTTTAAAATAAGGTTATTTTTTTCTTCTTGATTCCTACAATTGGCTTTAACTTTATGTAAACAAATCTGAGAGGCACAATTACTTTCAAAAGGGTGTAGTGAGGAGTTTTGTGAAACTTGTTTCTAGGAAAACAATTATAACTGCTAAAAATATTTTAAAAACAATTATCTAATACCTCTAGAAATTGTCTTAAAAGCAAATAGCACATTAACAGATGTTCATTGAAGAAAATTTACTAAATCTCAAGAAGAGGGTTAGGTACTCTGGCTACAACCCTCTCTCTCCTGCATCAATCACCTAATTCAGCATGATGGAAACTCCATTCTGATGGAATGTCTCTCTCTTTCTCTCTCTCTCTCTCTCTCTCTCTCTCTCTCTCTCTCTCACACACACACACACACACACACACACACACATACATACACACACACACACACACACAAACACAGGTCACCCTCTCCCATCAGCACCCAATGACAGGATACAAGGGAAGGTAAGCTACCAGCTTTATCCCTCATGGCTTCCAGCTGCAGAAGCTAAATTTCTGGCAATGTGACTGAGACATAAAGCACACCCTTCCTCAATGCACTCATAGGACTGAAGCTCTATACCAGGCATAATATCCTATGAATATAGAGGTACTCATTGCATTTGCCTCAACTCATTTGTAGGGATGACAACCTGAGAAGACCAGAGACTAACATCCTTTACCAGCTAATAAGAAAGATTGTCAGAGAAGCAGATCACTATTCTGTCCCCCTCTCTGGAGCAGTGGTTCACAGTTCTTTCCATGAGAACAGAGGAGAAAGTGCAGAGTCCGTAAGAAGAGATGATTCATAAACTGCTTTCAAAGGACCTATTTGAAATAGTGTGTAGAAAACTTTAGGTCTAAGGGTATTTTAAAAAACAATGAAAATTTTAGGAATAATCAATTAAAAGAAATCTAATAACTCAGTAGAGCAACTAGTCAAACCATGTGGCAATGATCTACCAGAGAGAGGTGAGAAAATAAACAACTAAAAACACTTAAAAGACCCTAAAAGCTAGGTAATTCCAGGAGAAGCAGATAGCTTAAAAAAGAAGATCAGAGAAAGAAACAGTCAAAAGAGCCCTGCAAA